GAGAGAGAGAGAGAGAGAGAGAGAGAGAGAGAGAGAGAGAGAGAGAGAGAGGGAGGGAGAGAGAGAGAGACAAGAAAGAGAGGAGAGAGAACATATTTTAAAGCAAAGACACAAAGAGCATAAAAAAGCACAGAGGCCGAGAAACACAGTCAGAACAACAACAACAACAACAACAACAACAATAACAACAACAACAATAACAACAAAAACAACAACAGTAGCAACAACAATAAAAAAGCAGTCTGTTAAACAGACAGAAAAGCATCCAAAAAGTCAACAAAAAGAACATGCTAAAAGACATGAGAATAGGAATAAAGGAGTGTCGTTTGGTAAACAGATGGTCGAAAAAAAGAGTCAGACAGGCATAAATAAATATATAAATATAAAATGAGATCCAAAACAGTCTTGTACTGAGAGCTGTGTGGGAAAATAACTGGTAATGGACTTAATAGCCCTTTTAAACACTGTTAAGAGGTGGTGCGTCCTTATTTAACCTCTACCCACCCGTCTCTGATAGGGCTCAGCTAAGCCCATTGGAAACGCCCCCAACGAACTGAGTTCAAGAACGGCCTTTTTGAGGATTCGAATCACAGTCATCCCACCAAAAGCTAACATGACATCATTATTTAACTGAGAGTAGATAAAAAGAAAGTAAAAGGTTCATGTTCTGTTTGTCATTTGTCCTGTTCTATCTTTCCCCCTCTGTCTGTTCAGTGTGTCTGCCGTCTGTCTGTCTGTCTGTCTGTCTGTCTGTCTGTCTGTCTGTCTGTCTGTCTGTCTGTCTGTCTGTCTGTCTGTCTGTCTGCCTGTCGTCATCGATTAGGTGTCAACAAAATAAGCCTTCGAATGCAACATACACTTATTGAAGTCGATCGGTGCATTTTTGTGGATAACAACTAATCACGTTCACTTCATCTTCTAACATTTTCTTCTGCAACATTTACCGTAAAAATCGCTGAACGGAAAACTGGGCTGTGCATTAATTAAAGAGGCTCTGACCCTCACAACGAGGGTTAAGTTCAGTAGAGAATGATCTTCCAAAATGTGAGGGTCCGGTAACTGTACTTGTCTTTGGGGATTGTGTTCTCTTGGTCTCCATGCCCCACTCGGTTTTCCTCTAAAACCATAAGAAATTCGGATAAAAATCGTTCCTTCTGCATCTCTATGCAAACACGCAACATTGAGCCGAGACACGACCTCCAAGAAAAGGTCTCCAACTATATAAGTACCCATGCAAAGGGACTAAAAGGCCATACATAATCACTTTAGCCTTATACTGGGTGCCCATTGCGGATGGGATCGGGTCGGGTGTGGTCGGTCGGGTCGATCGCCCAACTTGTCACCTGAAAACAAACACGTTTGTTTCTGAAGCGACGAGTCGGTTGATCGCTTTGTGCAACGATAGCCGCTTTGCTCCCTCAATCTGGCTAGCAAACCGATCCGACCCGACCGGATCGTGCCAATGGGCATCCCGTATTAAGTGTAGCATGACTGCTAAGAGTCACGGTGATCCCATCCTTACGCGTAATCTTCAACTACTTTTCAGCCCACACCGCCGGCGTACGATCTGAAGGGCTTCCAACTCCCCATCAGCGTGTATTATGGCGGGAGCGATGTGCTGGTGGCCCCCGGCGATGTGGAATGGCTCCTGACCCAGATCAAAGCAGAGTACGTTCAGCGCATAGGTCACTATAACCACATAGACTTTGTGTGGGCGATGGACGCCCCGGACACTATTTATTCTCACCTCATCAAGCACATGTTTCATTTAGAACGTTTATCACCACAGTAAAATGAGAGAGCAGATTATAATAATATTATATTAGCTTACATTATCATAATATATTACTTTTCCCTGCGCTCATTAAAAACGCATTTGCGTGTTTTCTAATACGATCCAAATTATTATTCTAGTAAAATTCGAGAAACTTTCGTTTCCCACCCTTTTTCATCCATTTATTTATCAAGTTTAGCTTATAACGAACTGATTTTGATGTAAGAGCTCTGCTCATGAGAAGTTCTCAACTTGGGAGAAACACAAAGAGTGAGTGGCGTGTTCGAAAGTCCCCCGTGCAAGTTTGAAATCGGCGTCTCATACTGTTTCAAAGTGCTTGAAAAAAAAATTCAAATCTCGAGTCCTACTTTAATGCTCTCTTAACAAAAACTATCTCCATGATCTTATCTAGCATCTATCACGCAGTAATTTTATTATCGAGGAGCCGGTTGGGGCTGTGGACTGGTCTTCAAACTACCCAGACAGGCATTCTATGGAACTTACGTAAGACGAATCCGACTATGTATTAATGTAAAAAAAACCCCGTAACAAATCGTTATCCAGCCTTTTGTTTAGTTAAAGTTTAAGAACTTCTGGCGAGTAGAGCTCTTTATTTAGGTTTCATCCACATTGGTTTATAATAAATGGATAAATGAAGAACAAAGTTGAAGAACAAAAGTTTTCTTTTGTTTCTTTACCAACTCGATATTTTCACCTCAAAACAAGCTATGCGCACGCCATGAGCGTAGGTAGCCTACACATTATACAGATTTTATTTATTAATAAAATGATTATCAACATTATTACTGAATTACCCACAGGAGCTCCAATCAATTTGTAATCAAGATTATGAATAAAAAACTAAAAATTGTACCAATGAGACAATTCTCAGTCTTTTGGAAAACTTGTTTTTAAGATAGAATGGGAAATTTTGGATTGTTAAAATTCGAAGGTATAATATTATTTTGTTTGCTTGGCCACTGGCCGGAATATCACTACTAAACTTGAGAGCAACACCATCAGCAGACGCAGCAGTGGCAACATCTATAGAGAAAGTTTTGTCTTCACGAAGACGAGAAAGAGCGCGCGCGCGCACGCGCACACACACACACACACACACACACACACACACACACACACACACACACACACACACACACACACACACACACACACACAGACACACATACACACACACATATACACACACCACGGTGCATAGAGCGGTAACAGCACAGTTTGTCTGTAATATATTATTATGTTTGTCCCCTTTCCCTTCTCTTCCTGGGGGAGAATAGATAGATGTAGATGAAGCTGTTTCACGGCACGTCAATACTCTGAATGTTTATCTTTATGCAAACCACCCCCCCCCCCTTACATACCAATCCAAAGCTAAAAGCAAACAGATGACACTCACTCCGAAAGTCAATCGTTTATTCTTTTTAAGGGCAATAAATGCCTACAAAGGTGTGCAGTATAAATCCATGCATTTCCCACAGTCGCAGTCCTATATACTACAACGATTGTGATGTGCAGTGTTCTGCCTTGTAGTTCTCTAAAACATCTGTTAACTGAGAGCCAACGAAGCACGCCTCACATCTTCACTGGCCTGAGTCGGCCTCCATAAGAGTTGGACTATAGTTAGAAGCGAACATCTACGTACATTATTTTAATGGTTTGATGCATCTCTTCCCACCATTCACCCCTCTTCACGCTACCCTCGTCCCTTGAAACATCGAAACTCAAAACAAAAAAGTAGTCTACAATGAATTTTTATATATTGTTTATCAACTGTGATTTATGAAACACAAGAATGCGCTTTTACTCCAACACCTGTTCCATTGCTCTTTTTTGGGCCTGGAAGTGAACTGGTTAAAAACCTACCATATAAATAATAATATGATTAACGGGCTTCAAAAGCAGCTATGAGAGGTAACATCGTCCTTCAGGATATCGCTGCAATAACGCTGTGAGTGGTTCATTTTTATTCGGAGCCTTCCGTGAGGACACAGCGTCCCTCTCTCGACTTTCAGCAACCATCCTACAACCCCATAAGGAAGCAACGAACCAAAAACAAAACAAAATAAGAAAGAACACACACACACACACACACACACACACACACACACACACACACACACACA